CTCCTCCTCCTCCTCCTCCTCCTCCTCCTCCTCCTCCTCTGCCGTGTCCTCCTCTTCCTCATCCTCCCTTCTCCTGTCCTTTTCTCCCTGTGAAGTGGTCAGAAATTGCAGCATGACGTGGTTGGAAATTTGATGCATCTGTGTCGAGCTGGTGCACGGTAACCTGCCTATGTCTGCCTCCTGCAGACCGTAACCACCTCCTCGTCCTCTTCGTCTCCGTCTTTGTCCTTGTCCTCGTCTTCAATCTCGGCCTTGTCCTCCTCCTCCTCGTTCTCTTCCTCATCCTCATCGTCTTCCTCCTCCTGTCCACCGTCCTCATCCTCCGCCCTGTCGTCTTCCTCCTCATCGTCATCGTTGTCCTCATCTTCGTCCCCTTCTTCATCCTTGTCTTCATCTTCATCCTCGCCCCTCTTCGTCCTCATGCTTGTCCTGGTCCTCCTCCTTTTCTTCATCCTTGTCTTTGTCTTCCCCTTCCCTCTTCGCTGTTCGTTTCTTCAAACTTCTTCCTTACTCCTGCTTCCAGCTCTGCCCTGCTGGTGTCTTCTTCTTCTTATGCCATTTTGCTTGCCTGCCCTCGTCTTCTCCTTCCTGCTGGTTAAAATACCTGTTTCCATTTTTTTGACCGTTTCTCAATTTATGCGTGTCATCCTTGCGCAGGGGCCATTTGCTAATTTGCCCTGCTCTGTATCGTTCCAATTTTACGATGTCCCTAAAGACACCTGTTTGCATTTTAAACAATCAGCAGTAAAGATGATCCTTTTCTGCTTTTATAAACCACCACTACGCCGAGCCTCTTTTTCTGGAGGCGGATTTGCACTGTGCTGCGCGCACCAAAGGAAAAACGAGCCGCCAGTGGCACACTTCTTTCCTTTTTGGCTGCTGCTGGGTGCCGTCAGCCATCTTGCTCCGGTGGTGGTCCTGCTCATCAGAAGAACCCAGATTGTCGTAATTTTTATGATTATTAATTTATTATATTATTATTAAATAAATAATTATGAAACGGTATTCACCAATTCGTGGTAGCTGAGGCAGATCCCAGGGCTCGATCCCTAGTTCCCCAACTTACCTGTGTACAATACCTGCGTCAACTCGAAGAGTTGAACCTGCGACCTGTAGAACCGCCAGTGGTAGGTAGGTCTGTCGTAGGTCTATAGGTAGCCAGGATTCGATCCGTAGACCTGTAGATTAGAAGGCTAGCTGCAGTCCTTCTAGAAGGTTGGCAAGTGGTCAAGTGGTGCAGGCAAGTGGGCAAGTGGTGTGCCCATGTTGGAGGCGAGGACAAGTGGCAAGGGCAAATAGTAGGACCCCAGTGCAACTGCACTGCGTCGTAGGGTAGTCGCCATGCAGTCATGGGAGAGTCTAGAAAGTACCAGTCCGGTCCAGCAAGTACCACGGGGGGGACTGTGTGCACCATGGGCCAGGGATACAGGGCAGACCAACGCAGCGCAGAAGTATAAATCAAGAGGCTGCGTCCAGCCATTCATTCATTCCTGCGGATGCCATGCGGGAGCGCTGCCTTAGCAGCTTGTGCGAGGAGGTCTGCAGTGTGCCCGAAGACRAAGTGGGCAGAGAAGTGTAGTGTAGCGATAGGTAGTGGCAGCTAGCGCTGCCATAGCTGTAG